CAGTGCGTGAAGAAGCTAATATATGGGAAGCGATCTCTTTTCGGCTACGTGAAGTGGCAACTCTTCAGGTCAGATGTGCCCGAGTCGGGCAGGTGCAACCGGTGCTTGGAGCGGTTGGCAAGTTGCGACAACGTCTTCTGAACCTTTACTATCAAGCTGATCGCAAATCTGAAGTACGTGATCGTGAGCAGGATGCGGCAGTCTTGAGGGAGATTGGCTACACACTGGGATTGGCGCCTGGACCTGAAGCTGAAGCTGCACAGCCTGGACGAGCTACGACCAGAAGCAGTCGACCACTGGAGTCGGGCATCCTCAAGCTCAGCAGAGTGCCGCAGTTCCAGTGCTTCCCAGGGACTGACATCCCGTTTGGCAGCGAGCTCAACTTCACGACACCTGCTCCAGACCCACGTCCAGTACATCATGCGATGGACGATGACGACCATGATCCTTTTGCAGATTTGGATGCTGGACTGGATGATCGTGATCTGGAAGTGGCATCTGGTTTCTCTGGCATTGATAATCGCAGAGATGAATGAACCAACGTACCATGCACGGAGCCACTGCCTGACGTGGCTCGAGCGCAAAACTCAGTGCCAGGACACAGAGGCGATTGTGATCACGAGGCTGACAAGACACGGACTAAAGATCTACACGTAACTCCTGGAGCTGATGGACGTATACCAATCAAAGATTCACACGTAACTCTTCGGAATTCGGTGCAGTTTTTGAACACAGTATCCAGTGACCTGGTGGCGAGGACCTACCAGCGAGCAGAACGACATGCACAGTTGGCATGGAAGGCTACGCGCTCTCAAGTCAGGACGTGGGCGACACAGGCTACAGCAGGCTCGTTTAAGCAGGCGCACAGATACCTTGGCAAGGAGGAGCAGATCGAGACCAGCAATGGTTGCCTGGACCCTGATACGAGAGTTTGGGAGATGGACCCCATCAAGAGCATCGACTTACGTCGCAAAGCTTGGGAGCGCAGATGGACGGCACACAGACAACATACGGAAGATATGCAGTCAGCGCTGGACATGCTGAAGATGAAGGCCAGGGAGGAGCTAGTGGACAGGCCCTTCTTGGATGGAGATCAACTTGAGGGAGCTCTAGGTAGATGTTCCTCCGGTACTGGTTTGGGTGCCGATCAGTGGTCGCCTGATCAGCTGCGAGCGCTCAGCCCGCAGTGCAAGGAGGGATTGCTGCTCATTCTCAACATGTGCGAGAGAAAATTGCAGTGGCCACATCAACTCATGCAGATGTGGTATGCATTACCATCGAAAGCAGATAAACAGGTTGCGGGGGAAGAACGGCCCATTGGGCTGTTACCAATGCCTCTACGAGTATGGGGTAAGATGACTAAAGCTACACTTACAGATTGGTGTGATCGCCGAGCAGGTTTCTGGGATGCAGCAGTACGTAACAGCTCGGCCCTACAATCAGCTTTACTCACATTGGTACTAGATGAATGCCGAGCAAGCTTAGATGAAGCTAGCCAAGCCTCTTTCTTCCAAGACTTGGAGAAGTTTTATGACTTGGTGGATTTGGGAATATTAGCCATGCGATCCATAGATTTGGAATTTCCTGCAGTGGACTTATATATGTGTATCATGTGCTACCTTAGCCCGAGACTAGTCAAAGTCAACAAGATCTACAGCGACCTCATTGTACCAGACAACGGTATTGTTCCTGGGTGTGGTAAGGCTAACCACTGTGCAAGATCCCGACTCTACCATGTGTTAGATAAAGTACATAGAGACATGAAGATCGTGCGTATCCGACAATTTGTGGATGATATTTCCGCTCGAGTAGAAGGTCCTCCAGAGATAGCGGGCCCTGCTATTGCTACAGCAGCTACTACGCTAGTAAAGGGGTGCCTGGATGCCCGCTTACGAATTTCGGATAAGTCGACGATCATGGCGACCAACAGCGACGACGCGACGATGGTTGAGGAGGCGTTGCTGGAGATAGGGGTCAAAATAAAACGACGTAGAACCATGAAGGACCTGGGGACCGACAACACCATGGGGGAAAAGCGGACCAGAACCACAGCAGGTAAACGTGAGCGGCTTGGACGAGTGAGGGCCTCACGGGCTCATGTTTTTGGATTGTTGGGCAAAACCCGCAGGAAAAAAAGAGTCCAGCTGTACAATAGTAATATTAGTGCTAAAATATCTTAGGATAGCCCCCTTGTTGGCCTCCCCCCCACGGGGATCCGACGGCGCAGAGCTCTGGCTGCGGACCTGGCTGGTTTAGGAAAGAAAGGACGTTGCACGTCCATGGTCATGCTGCTGCTGTATGGGGATCGGGAGCCTTGGGCCACGAGCGTCAAGCGACAGGCCAAGGAGTGGCTTGCTTTTTGGGCCCAACATCCCAACCTCAGGCAGCACGTGCGCAGGGGGTGGACGGCCACTAAGTTGAGGCTTGCACGCTTGAAGTTTCGGGCCCGTTGGAGGGCTTGCACAGGACCGATGGGGGCAATGAGATTAACCCTCAGGGCCCTGGGATGGGTTGGGATTGAACCCGATCGCTGGGAGGACCCCGATGGTGTTGAGTGGCGGTTCAACCCCGACCTGTCAGGAGATATGACAGATTTAAGTGAAGCTATGGTTGATTATGTTAAGCGTCTTCTCTGGGAGCAAGCCTCGAAACACTCTGAGGGGGCTGCTTTGAATCCAGAAGGGGGCGAATTAACTATGCTCCGCAAAAATCTGTCCAGGATGATCAAGAAAGATATGCACCAGGAGGCTGGCGCCTTGGAGGGGCTTGTTTGTGGCACGCTGTGGAATGGGGATCGCCAGCGCCGTGCTGGATATAGCACAGAAGGCCTGTGTGAACGCTGTGACCTCCGCTCCCCCGACACGGTGCGCCATAGAGTTTATGAATGCCCCTGTGTGTCAGCAAGAGAGCACCCCTGGATCCAGCGTACGAATTATACATGCCAGCGCGCTCTGACGGACCTCGACCATGGCACCAACGAGTCCTTGTGGCGCAAGGGTATTGTGCCTGGGTCGTGGAACTGTGTTCCCCCTCCCCCTGTCTGGGGGGATCAGAGTGCCTGGCGAATTCGTGCTGTCGATGCCCCGACCCCCGAGATTGGCCAAGCTGGAGAAATCCTCCCCTCTTGGACCAGGCTCCGTGGCCAGAAGGCCTTCTTGGATGGATCGGGCACGAGCTCGGACCCCAGGACGGTGCGCGTGGGCTGGGGAGTGTATCTCCAGCAAGGGCCCCTCCCCCCGTCTATGCCTCAGGGCTCCTCGGAACCCGACCCTGCCCCTGGGTGGTATGGTGGCGTCGACGGCAGACAGAGTGTTCCAGCTGCTGAGTTGGCGGCTATGTGGTGGTGCCTGCAGCTCACACAGGGAGAGCTGATCGTATATACTGATTGCCAATTTGTGTTTGACGGGTGGTTCGGGGGCCAATTGGAGCGGCCTTCAGGGGCCCAGAAGCTCTGGTGGGAGAGAATCGCCCAGGCTGCCCAGGACCGCCCAGGACCCATCAGGCTCCGTAAATGTTGTTCTCATTTAGATGCTGTGTCTCACGCTCGTCTTGGCCAAAGGGTTGAGGTTTCACGTGGTAATGAGATCGCTGATGGTTTTGCCCAGCTTGGGGCCCAGGAAGCCTATGCATGGATTGCAGGCCTGGTCCGTCACCTTGCCCAGGGGGATGCGACTGCGACGCTGGTGCACCAGCGATTGGCCGCCGTCTGTGCCGAGCTGGCTGCCGAAGCAGCCGACCAGGACCGCCCCGCGCGCGAGGCGCCCGAGGGAGGAGGGGAGGCTGCTCGGAGGGCCGTGGCTTTGGAGTCGAGCTCGGGCCATAAGATGCAGAGAGTGGCGAAGCGTGGTTGGGTTTGCTCGGTCTGTAGGTTGGGCCCTGGCAGATCCTCGCTGGTGGACTGGCTCGAGAAATCCCGCTGCCAGAGTGATGCTGGAACCCCTGTCCTCGTGCCGCCCCGAGCCGTGAGTGACGTCCAGACTGCGACCAAGAGCGTCCATCCGACGCACACGGTGGCCATGAGGCACGGTCTCGTCTGGTGCTGGAAGTGCGCTCACTATGGGAGTGTGGTCCGAGGTGGGGGGAGGCTCCTTCTGCTTGCACAGCCTTGTGATGAGAAGATCACTGGATCTGGAAGGCAGTATCTTCGGAATTTACGGAACGGCAAGCCCCCCAAGCCAGGGAAGCCCTGGCCCATTCCCCCCCGTGCTGAGAACTTGGGGGTCCAGGGGGGCTTGACCGTCAAGAATTCGTTTCTGACAAAGACCCGTAAGTAAGTTTACTGAGGGCCATCCTTCATGAAGGATGAGTTTGCCCAGCTGTGCCATCGGTGCTGACCTGGGGACCTGCTGCAATCTCCCTGTAATCTCCTCGCCGCCACGGCTGGAGTCGCCTCGAGGTCCTGGCCAGGACGCACCCCCGCAGAGGTCCACGGACCCAAAGGTCCGACGCCACGACCAAGAGCCGGCATCGCCAAAGATGATCGCCGCAGCCCCAGACCCCTTCTTTCGGGGAGGCGTAAGACTCGGGCTCGGGGGACTCGAGCTGGCCCGAGGGGGCCGTCTGGAAAATGACGAGACCCAGTCTGAAATTTGACGCGGACTCCCGCTGCAAACATCCCACGAGAACTGGACCGTCAACATCCAGGACGGGCTCGTCAGAAAGCGTCGGCAGACCCGAGTGCCGGCGAACTCGAGTCTTGCGTTTCCCCGAGTATTTCTGCCGCCTATTCCGAACCGTATCGGTCTGTGATGGTCGCGAGGCCTGAGATGAGGGGCAACGATTGGGGGGGACTGGCATAGGGGGGATGCAGCGACCTGGAAGCGGCGATACAGCGCCGATAGCTCGGCGATACCTCGCCCCCGCTAGTGAATCCGCACCTTCCTGGGCAGGCTGGAGCCATCGAGCCCCCATCGGCGATCAGTGGGCGTGTGGGGGCCGATGCGTCCCCCCCCCCTCCTGTGCCCTTCCCCCCCCCCATCGCTGCCCCCGACGAGATCGTGCGACGACGCCCAGCGCGAAACAGCTGCGGCGACCGGATCTCGGGGTGGCGGCATCGGAGGCGAGGCGGAGATCCGCCCGCGTCCACCGCCCGCGGAGCCGACGCCCTGGGGCCCCCGTGGGCGGTGGGTGCGGACAGATCTGGGCTCCAGGGGCCCGACCAGATCCAGATCTGCCGCCTCCCGAGGTCCCCGCAGGTCGATCCCCCCAGGCGGTGGCGTCGTGGATGGACTCCCGCCTCGGGTCGGTGCCTTTTTCTGTTCCCCCGGGGCCGGCGCCTTCGCGCCCTCGGCCTTCGCACCTGGCAGCGGGTCCTCCGCCTTCTTCGCCTCCGCCTTCGCCTCCTCCGCCTTCGCCTTCTCCGCCTTCGCCTCCTCCGCCTTCGCCTCAGCCTTCGCCTCAGCCTTCGCCTCCGCCTTCGCCTCCGCAATGGCCTCCTCCGCCTTCGCCTCCGCCTCGTCCGGGTCCTCCGCCTTCGCCTCTGGCAGCGGGGCTGGGGCCCTGCACGACTCGCAGTTCTTGCAGTCGGAGAAGACGCACCTGGTCTGGGGGAACCGCTGGGAAAGTCAGCGCCGAATGCGCTTAACCCAGACATGCTCGCGTCGTGGCAAAGATCACGACAGAAGGTTTTCGGCCGTTTTCGGCCTCCCCGGGCCCCAGTCAGGCCCCAGGCCAGTCAAAGAACGGCTCGGGATGGAAAACCGGCCCTAGGGAAAGTGTCGGGACTACCACGAACCCCGCCTTGAAAGAAAGACGTTGGATGTTCGGGAAATTGGGAACTGGTGAGGGTTGAACAGGAGCTGGTCCTGGCTGGAGCGAGCCCAACATGCGGCCATCCTGGTCAGGGCGAGAACGACTGAAGGCTGGCCAGGGCTGGAGAAGGCAGAAGAGCGGGCCTGGCCACTCTTTCCAGCTTCCGTCCACGCCCGGACGGTAAGTGAAAAGCGCATGCTCTCAGAGAAGAGCGGGCGCCCCTGGAGAGCCCCAAACGCATCCAAAATGGTCCCAGGAGGGCCCCAAGCGGGCCCCAAGGTGGCCTACTGTGCGCAAACTGCCAAGAGGCTCCCATATCGAAAGATCCGCGAAGGAACTTCTGCTTGACTCCTGGATCTGCTCAGGCTCATCCCGATTTTCGGATCGACGGCTGCCCCCTATATGTCAACGCGTGCCCGCACATTTCCCTCATCAATGCAACTCCCCTGGGCATCGTTTCTGGATGAGCTGCCAGGGATATTTTTTGGGGTCGGCGGCTCCGAGGCGGCGGACAGGGAGCGGTACGCGTCGTCTGGGCCAGCAGGCGAAGCGAATTAGCTACAACAGGCAATGCACCTGCAGCAAAAAATGATCCCAGTGCGACCCTACCTAGGAGTTGGAACCCCTAGGAAAGCAGCATTAGTAGTAACAGTAACGCTAAGCTAAAGCTAAGCTAAAGCTAAGCTAAAGCTAAGTTAAAGCTAAGCTAAAGCTAAGCCACAGCTAAGCTAAAGTTAAGCTAAAGCTAAGCTAAAGCTAAGCTAAAGCTAAGCTAAATCTGAGCAACAGCTAAGCTAAAGCTAAGCTACAGCTAAGCTA